CATATTGAGCTTATTAGAGGGGATGCCCTGGGCTCTGGGGTCTCCTGGCCTACAGGCCCGGGAGTCTTCAGCAGGAGAGAAGGGCGGAGCTCCTGGAGGAGACGCAGGACAACTCGGAGGAGTGGCTGGTGGGGACCCTGCGGGACTCGGGCGGCCTCCCCAGACCCCCTGCTCCTCCAAGTGGCTCCCACCTCCCCCCGCCCCAGAGCACCTCTGCTCTCTGCCTTTGGCTTCCTCCAGGCTGCTGCCTGTCCCCTGCCCCTACCTTCCCCCAGGTCACTCCCAGGAAGGACCCTGTGTGGGCTGCTCCTCTGCCCCCAGAGTCAGCACAGCTCAGTGCTACTTGGGTGGCCCTGGGACTGCAGTTCGAGAGCCCAGGGAGTGAGCAGTGGGCAGGCAGCCAAGGCTGCGGGCCTCCTCCCTGGGCGGGTGGTGGCACCCCAGGCCTGGCCTTGGGGCAGAGGAGCCCTCCCCTGGGCTCAGGCTGGAGGTTGGTAGCCAGGGCTCCGAGCTGGAGGCTGGGGAGTGAAGGGCTTTGCTGCGGGGCTTTGGGGACGATTTACATGACAGATGAGAAAGAAAGGAGACAGACCCTTCCCTCCCCATCACCCACCCCTGGGAAAAGGCAGGAAAACCAACGCTTTTAGCGCCATTAACTCCTAAGACCTCTGCTTTTCCTTCAGTACAAAGGTTGGTCCCTGGGCCGGAGGCTGTGCGGGTCTCAGAGGCTACAGATGTGAAAACCGGACGGGAGTGGGAATCACGTATTTAGGAAGCCATAGGATTCTCAAAAATCCGCGAGTGGAGGAAAGACGAGGACTGTGTCCCCTGCGGAGAGCGAGCCCCTTGTCCCTGGCGGCGGAAGGGGCCGCGGAGGCGAGCCGGGGCGCGGGGCGCGCTGCGCCTGGGTTCTCGCCGGGTGGGGGCCGCCCCAGGGCCCTCTGTGCGGCCCGAAGGCCTTTCATCGTGGTCACCCCGCAGGAGATGCGCTGGCCCTGGCATTGGGCGTTAGGCCCCAGCGGGCGGAGGCGGAGGGGCCGTGGAGGAGACGCGGAGGCCCCACCGTGGCTCCTGGGCCGGCCGTCTGGAAGCCAGACACCCCCAGGCGTCTGTGCGCGGCGTCCGGAGGCCGGGCCCTGGCGTCCAGCGTGTCTGGTGACTGAGAACCCCCAGCCGACGCGGCTTCGCAGGCCGATCCTGGGAGAGGGTTGGGGATCCTGGAGAAACGGCCCGACAGGAAGGCCTCGCTGGACGGCCTCCGCCTGGCCTCCACCTGGCCACAACAAGCGGAACTCCAGCTGAGGTTCTGCTCCCCTTCAAACGGCCCTGCCGCCCCTCCTGCCCCAGGCGCGCCTCGCATGGTGGTCGTCTTCCTCAGAAGCCCGTGGCCTCGGATCGGAACCGCCCAGGTTCTCCCGCCGCTGGGAGTTTGGGGACCCGGCCCTCGGAGCACCGGCCCCTCGCGCGCCTTTGTCGCTCGGCACGGGGCTGAGCCGTGCGGTTCTCCCGAGTCCTCAGCTCGGCCTGCGCTCTCGGTGCTGGGACACGTTGGGGGGGGTCCCGCCACCCGCGCTGGGGGAGGGGCGCCTGGCCCCCGGCGGTCCCTTCGGTAGGTGTGGGAGCCCCGGACCCCGCATTCACGTCGGGGCTCCTCCGTGCAGTGGCTTCCGCGCCCGGTGCCCGGTCCCCGAATCCAGAGATCAAAGAGGAGCAGCTGAGAGCGGGGCGACCCGTGCCTGCGACCCCTGACCCTGGAGGGAGGGCGGGAGCCGGGGTCCGGGGTCAGGCCGCGGTCGCTGGCTTCCCCGAGGGGCCGCTCCCCCGGCAGAGATGGTGGGGCCTGGCCGCGGTGCCCAGGACGGGCCAGCGAACAGCCCGCGGCTGGCCCAGGGCCCTGAACGGCCGGAGAGGGAGTCGCGGGCTAAGCGCGGCGGCACCGCCTGGACCCGGGACCGCAGGTCGGTGACGCCCGGCACCGGGGAAGGGCCGGTGGGTGCTTCGGCCCAGCTGTCCCTGCTGCGCGGGAAAAATCAAAACCTGCCGCTTTGGGAGAGGTGTGGGTGGCGTGTTTGGGTGTGGAGGTGTTTGAAAAACCCCGTCTAGGCACACAGGCTTCCGGTAAACCTGGTGACTCCACCCCTCCCCCAGCCCTGACACCACCAACCCCGAAGGCTGCTCCTTGTGGAAAACAGATGGCTTGGGAACTTGGACTTGCACACTTCTTAGAGCGGAGAATACCCGGCTGGAAGTGCTGGGGCAAACCTAGCACTGGGGTGCTTTGAGGCTTTTTTTGGTGGGGTTTCAGGATGATTTGTAAACAGCATTTATGGTTATTTTGAAACAAAAGCTGGAGATACCGCCTTCTGCTTCCCTAGTAGCTCAGACTGTAAACAATTTGCCTGCAATGTGGGAGACCTGGGTTCCATCCCTGGGTTGGGAGGGAATGGCACCCCACTCCAGTGTTCCTGCCTGGAGACTGCCATGGACAGAGGAGCCTGGCGGGCTACAGTCCGTGGGGTCGCAGAGTCGGACACGGCTGAGCCACTAAGCCCAGCAGTGAGCCTTAATAACAGCGGGAAGACCCCAGCAGCGCCGACCACCCTGGGGTCTGCCCTCTTGGCGGCTGGCGTGTGTCCGGGCACAGTCACGGACTGGAGTCCAGCTCCTGAAGGCGCCGCCTCGAGGGGAGGCTGACCCCCAAGCCCTCCAGTCCTCCCCCCGGGCCCAGCCTGTGTGCCCACACTCACCCCTGGACAGCTGGAGGGGCTGAAGGCTTTGGGGGCCCGCCCTCCCTCCCTCCCCACCTCCCTGAGGACGGCGCACAGGCCGCCACCTGTGGTGGGGTGGGACCCAGGCCACGGCGGTCCGTACCACCCACGGGCCTCGCTGCTCTGGGGGCACCAATGTGGGCCTGACAACTCTGTTCTCCTGTTGGATTGTAAAGCTTAACTTTTTTAGTTTTCACTTGAAAAATCAAGGTGGGAGATAATTAATCATATCTAAAATGAATATTCAAAGCTGGCAGAAGAGAGAAAAGGGGAAAGTAAATTTGTTGAAATTGAAGTGAGACGTAAGGTAGAAAAAACCTTTTAATGAGAATTGTCTTGAAGGATGTCTGAGTGAAATGCACAGAAAGAAAACGCAGAGATACTCAAGCAGAACTGTTCTCTTTCCTCTTAAGCATACATGGGGAGGTCAGGAAACAAAATTACCCCCTCCCCATCCAAAATATGGAAAAAGAGAGAAGGCTGCAACTCAAATACTTCTTGTGCCCTTGAAGCCAGATGCTCCAGGCCATTTTGAGAATAATTTAACCCCAGGGCACCACCGAGCCCTGCTGACGCCCTGCCTGGACCCCCTCCAGTGCTCACGGGGGAGCCGCTGGGTAGCCAGCCGCAGAGCCCTGGGACCTGGCGTGAGAAGGGCTGGAGGGTTCAGGGGGTCAGAGGAAGAGGAGGAGAGGGTCTGCCCACCGCATCGAGGCCAAGGGCAATGTGTGTGAAGGTGTGTGCGTGTGAGACGTTTAAGAGTGTGTTTGTGACAGCGGGTTTGCATTGTGTGTGTGTGTGTGTGTGTGTGAGCTGGCATGTTTGTTGGTGTGTGTGTTTGCGTGTGTGTGTGTGTGTGTGCCCACCAGCCTGCCTAGTCCTGGAGGCCCAGCTTTCCGGGGACCATCTGTTTCCAATTAGCAGCATCCCGATTGGGAGAAGGCCCGTCGTGGGGCCGCTCCCGAGCCCAAGACCCGGGTGGGCCGGCTCGGCCCCCGGTTCTGCTCCATGGGAGCCAGGCCGCCCCTGGCCAGCAGGCTCTCACAACTGGAGCAGCCACACAAAGAGCCCTCTTTCCTGCCACCAGCCTGGAGCCCAGGTCCTCCCCAGATCATAAACCTGCCCGTGAAGACATTCAGAAATAGTTCAGCCCCACTCACAAGCATGTGCAAAGGCTGGAATTCCATTTGCTGTAAAGTTTTATTTTATTTTCCTTGGAGGGGGAGTGAGGGGGAGGGGAGTCCTGACCTAATTTGTTCTGGGGCAAAATACGGCCTCTCAGGCAAAGGCTCCACCTGTACACGAACTCTTGCTTGGTGCGGGTGGATTCCACACGTGTGTGTCCACCTGCCTAACACTGTGCAGACACGCTGCTCACGTCTCAGGAGCACAGGCGGTGGGAGCCAGGCCGCTAAATGATGCTCTCAGCGAAGCCGGATTTCTAATTAACCTCGCGTGGTTCACATGCATGGTGTCTGGCATACATTAGGCACTAAATATAAACTGGTTGAATAACTAAATAAAAATTAGATTTAAAAAGTGATCTAGCACTGAGAGGAGGTTGGAAATAAGTAGTGTGTGTGAGACTCTAGACCACAAGCAAAGGCATGGGCTCAGAGACCTCTGGGTCACCCAGGGGCCTGGCATGGAATGTTCCAGCAATATTTACCTTCCTTCAAGTTTCTTCTTCTAACCCTCCCTGTTTCTCAAGCCTTCTTTTGAGATGGTGGGAGCCCTGTGGGTTCTAATTATAGTCGCAGACCAGCGCTGCCGTGAATGCCGCCTTTCTGTAGGACCTGGGTTTCCAGATCCGCTGCACAGAGTGGCTTATTGTCACCAGGAGGGGAAGGCAATGTCCCGCTTGGACTCAGGAGGGCGTGCGGCCGGGCGGGCTCAGGCTGGGGATCTCTCTCGGAAGAAAGCTAGATTACTACTCCAAGGCATGGATTTGGGTGACTTTTTGTTTGGGGTCCTTACAGTTGCTGCTTTTATAACTTGGAGACAGTATCCACAGGGACTGTGTTAATGCTAATTAAGAGAAAGGCTCTTTTTAATAAGAAAAGAGAAAAACCATTTGAAAGCCCCACAATCTCAGTTGTCTGGGATATAATTTCAAGTGAAGCGAATATGTGATTAAAACATCGTGATTCCAAAACCGATCAGAGGAAAAGGAATTGGCTGGGCCCTTCCCGGCTGCCGCAAACCTCGGCCGGCCTGGGCCCCGCCAGGCGCTCAGGCGTTGGGGTTGGTCCTCATGAGCTCCACGTCGGCCTCCACCATCTCCCGCACCAGCTCCTGCGGGCAGGGCGTGGGCGCGGGTGAGGGGGACCCCGGCCCCCCGGCCCTCCTCGCCGCACCCCCTTCCCCGGCCCCCAGGGCCCCTCCCGCCCGGCCGAAGCACCGGAGACTCACTCACATCAAAGGTGACCCGGGGCTTCCAGCCGAGCTTCTGCCTGGCTTTGGAGCAGTCTCCCTGCAGAAAGTCCTGCGGGCAGGATGGGGCGCACGGTCTGGCAGGCGGTGGCGGCCTCGGCAGGGTCACCCGCGCCCCGCGGCTCCTGCGGCCGAAGCTGGGCGGGTCCCCACCACCACCCCGAGTCCCGCCCCAGGGACGCGCTCTGAGGGCCTCGTGGGCCTCACCTAGGAGAGGGGACGCGACCCCCGCCCTCCCCCCACCCCCCATGGTGCTCGCGTCCCGGCTCCTCTCCCCTCCCCCCTCCCCCCGCCAAGTCCCTTCCTCTCCCCTGCCCTCCCCTCCCCGTCTCCGTTCCCCCTCCCCTCGCCCAACCCCCTCTGCCAGCTCTCGAAGCCCCCCCACAACACCTGCCCCGCAGGAAGCAGGTCTCCGAGCCAGCCCTCCTTACTGACCCCCCGCTGCGGCCCTCGGAGCCGAGGTCCAGGCTGCTCTTGGTCCCCTCCCTTCCTCAGCGACGCCGACCTCAGGGCCCCTCCTCGCCCCCCGGGCTCCCCCACCCAGGGCCGGCTCCTCTGCCCCTCCCCCGCCCCCAGTCCCACTGCGGCTCATTCGCTCAGTGGTGAGTTTCTCTCCCCAGCTGACAGGGTCTTATCAAAATATAAAAACACATAAAAGAGGACACGATGACTCAACTGGTCCCTGCTGGGCCTCCCTGGGCAGGGAGGGGCTGAGAACCTCCCGGCTGCTGCCTCAAACGGACTGCCTGGGAAGGGAGCCGGGGGAGGGACTGCCCACCCGGCCCAGCAGAGCCCCCCCACTCTGCCTACAACTGATGGACACGAGGATGAGAAATGAGAATTTCAAGATGCTTCCCAAAAGAAAGTGAGGGCAGAAGGAGGGAGGGGAGAGAGAGGAAAGAAAAAAGAGAGAGACTGAAACAGACCAGGCTGGGGTAACCTCCCCCAGATGCAAACCTGCTTCCTCCAGGGGCCGTGAGATGGGCCATGAGATGGGCCGTGAGATGGGCCATGAGATGGCTGCATGAACACGCACGCCCTGGGGAAGACATTCTCCCAGCCACACAGAGTACTAAAGGACAGCCTCAAACCACCACAGCAAGGCGCCTAACGGGCGCTCAAACTGTAGCTGAAATGTTTCTGCTCCACGTCAGTCAGCTCAGGCTCTGGAAGGTGAATCCACAGGGGCAGGCGCAGCGGCGGGCGGGACCTCTGTGCTCACCCCAGCCCGGCCCGGCTCACTCAGCCTGGACCCACGTCTGCCTCGGCTGTTCCAGCATGGCCCTTCTAGCGGCTCTCTGCCACCCAGCCTCACAGTCAGGGCTCCATCGAGCTCCCAAAGGGCTTCACTGAAGGGCTGCCTTGGCCTCCAGCATTAATAACAGTCAAACAAGTTACTTCTGCTGGCCCTGAAAGTCCATGTGCAGAATCCTCAGGAAACGTAGGGTGCAGATATTACTGATTAGCAATTTAACACAGTGCCACACGGAGCTGGAAATATATGCAGAAAAACAAGTGAATTTATTTCTCTCTCCTTTCCCCGAGTAAATGTGTCTAGACTTTGAGGCTACTTCTGTTGGAGAAGAGAGTCACACAAAGACATGCATTCTGTCTGTGTCCCCAGTGCGAGCTGTGAAATGTGGCCCCAGGAAGCAGAGCCCCAGGCCCCGCAGCAGTCACGCTCTGCTGGGGCCGGGGGGGGGGGGGGAACACTGTCCATCCCCGCACCTGCCACAGGCGCCAGCTCCGTGAGGGTGCAGAGCCCCGAGACCCGTACCACTTCGCCTGGCTGCAGGAGACTTGGAAAGGGCACTCTGCATTGTAACTCTGCTTCCTGTATTTTTCTACAAGCAGCTCCTAATCTAAAAACAAGTAGGGAACGACAATTAAGGAAGAAGAAAAATGGCTTTCAAAAGCTCAGAAACAGACGTGCTACCGTGCAAGGGTTTCATTGAAACCAGAGACGCACCAGTAAAACTTCCCGATGCAGTCTGAGCCCAGCTCCCACATTCCGGCCCGGCAGCTAGCTTTCGCCTTCTGCCAAGGCGCTGTCTCCCTGAAATTTAATTAGACCGAGAGATCTTGTGAAGGAAAAGGATGAGGTTCCGTTAAAACAAAACGTCGGCTCTGGACGCCCGCTGCTGTGTCCAAGCCGACACCTAGACCGGCCCCTTCTAGGGAAGGCAGGGACGCCTGGCTCGTTTTATACTCAACCCCTCTTGAGGGGCTTCCCTGCTTGTCCCTGGAGCGTCCCTTAGGGAAAAGGCAAACAGCTGGGCCTGCAAGGTTTGGGGCCTGGGCTGGGCTACACGAGGCTGGCCGGGGGCAGGCCCAGTGTCTGACCCACTCGCGTGGGATCGGCTCTGACGACAGGCGAAGAATCAGTCGTGTGTTTTGCTCTCTGCTTCTCTCTGACAGTTCGGTTCCTCCTTTATTTATAGGCTTAAAGCCTTAGTATGACAACAGGGGCTGGGGCTGAAGGGACGTGATGATTTTATGTACAGTTTCCCAAACGCACGCTGTGCACTGGGTGGTCTGGACCTTTTCTTTAAAAGGGAGACAGGGCCGCTCTGGGAAGAATGTGAGGCATTTCTATGTGAAGACGGCGTTTCCTGAGCCCCGGCTCTGGGTGTCCTCCTGTTTCCACGGCTGTTCCTTAGGTGAGCACTGCAGTGTCAGCCTGTGATTTATTCTTGTCGGATTCAATTAGGGTTGGCTGAGCGGTTCCCCAGCGGCGGGGCGGCACAGGCGTCCGTGTGCAGACGCCCCAGCTCTTCCGGGTCCGCAGACTCCGGGATGACCTTCAGGGCTCGTCCTCCGATGGCCGGGTCCAACCCAGAGGCCTAGGGCCTGAGTGCCCGTAGGTGGAGCAGCAAACCGACGCAGGTAGGAAGCATGTTTTGCTGCAGCAATTTTTCCGGCTTTCCTGGTTTCTGTCCTTGTTACAGTGAAGTGATAAAGGGCCAGGCCAGATCCTGGAAAAGTCATTAGGCCAGTTCCTGAGCCCCCAGCAGTCAGCACAAGGCCAGGAGAGCAGGCCTGCGCTGCCTGCCGCCACGCTCACCCGGCCGCTCTCCGCGCCCGGGGCACCTCTTCTCTACCAGGATGACAACACGCCCTCTACGCCGGGCGGCCTCCCCCTTCCCCTGAGGTCTGGTCATTATTCAGCACATTAAGCCCTTGGATACCCACCCACTTTCCTGAAAATCACCTGGGGAAAGCCATTAGGCAGATTCTATCACATTTCTTTTTAAAGTTCATACTCTCATTTCTCTCGCTATTTCACTGAAGTTACATTAGGAAAGTTTTTAATATGAGAGTTAACATCCATTTTATTTTCAAGTGATGTGTCTCCTTAACAGGGCTGCCTGTAGGCTCTCGGAAGGGCATCAGTTTAGGTGGAGAAACATCTAAGTGTGGGTGCTCTTTGGGCAGGAGGCTGTGAAACGCCCACAGCGCCCACAGAAAGAGCTGGACTCCAGCCTGTGGCTGAGAAGGGGCACAGATGACCCCGAGGCTCAGCCACCTCCCAGGACCTAAGAGCCCAGTGTGAGGGCTGCTCCACATTCATCAGCTTCCTTCCACTTTGCTTAAAAAAGCAAAACTGAGGAATGGCTGAGGTTCCCAGGGAATAAAAGAATGCCAGTGAATTTGGTTCCTGATGTAACTCGATGCTAATGCCTTCCTCTTGGGGAAATGCTCCTTTTTAGAAAGACAGAACTGCTCACTACGGCAACAATGGACAGTCAATGGGAAACGCTGGCCCAATCCGGGCTGGAAACACACAGCTGAGAGTCAGCGAGAATGAGAAGGGCCAAGTGGGGACCTTCCCTCAGCAAGCCCGCAGGAGAGTCTGCCTCCCGGGGGGCAGGTTCAGCGCCTCCTGCCCTCATGTGCGCCCTTTGCGCAGTGCGGGGAGCACCGCTCACCGCCCCCCCAGGACCCCCACCGTTGGCACCGAGGGAGCTGAGGCCTGGCCTCCCCTCTGACGACAGGGCTGATAAGAGACGAGGAGAAAACCGCGGGCGTCTGGTCTGCTCAGGAAGCGGCCTCAGAGGGGCTGTCCGTCAGCAGGCTGCCGTCGGGCCTGAACAATGCCGGGCTCTCTCGCGGGGAAATCCAGTCCATCAGCACCACCCCACTGCTGCTGACCCTGGAGATACCGGGCAGCTGGTGGGGCAGAGAGCGCCCCGCCCGGAGACGCCGGCACCTCCGCTGGGGGCCTCAGGATGCGGGGTCCCGGCCCCAGGGCTGGGCGGGGGCACCTGAGCAGGTCCCCAGGAAGCTTATGGGCTGGGAACCACGATTTGTCATTTGGAACGAGCTACTGAGAGCTACCAAACCCAGGCCTGCAAGGCCACCTCCAAGTGCACCTCAGACACGGGTGAAGATGTCTACCCAGCACACAGAGCTCTCTGGAAGAATGAACGAGCACACGGACTTCCTGACACCTTCACTTCTAAATTTGTAAATAAAGCCTATGGTGGTAAATAGAAAAGTATTCGCTTTATAAATGGAGAATCCAATTAACAGCATTTATAGTGCAGCCTTCATAGAGATGTCTGTTTTCATTTGTATTTTGAAAATACGGTTAGCAGAAAGAGAAATGTGGTTAGGATGAAGGTAAGAGGTCGGGACAGACAATTTTAGTGGAAATTGCGATGAAGCACATCAAGTTCCTTTTAAACAGAGCTTGAGCAAAGGTCGTAGAGAAAGTCCTTTCAGGCTGAGGTGAGGATGGGGGCCCTCTCCTCGCAGAGTGGACACAAGCCCGGTACCTGGGCTGGTTCTGTCCCCGATGCCAGCCCCGGGCGCCCCCTCACAGTCGCACGCCCTCCCAGGGCAGAGGAGCGGGCCCCAGAGAGGCCAGCCCACCTGCCTCCAGGCCTGGCTTACCCGAGCTCAGTCTGTGCTCGGCTTCTCTCTTATTTTTGGCTGTGCTGGTTCTCGTTGGGTGCAGGACCTGCCCTCTAACTGTGGCGGAGGCGTCCCCTGCTGCAGAGTGCGGGCTCCATCGTGGCATGCAGGCTTAGCTGCTCTGCGGCACACGGC